AAATATATAAAAATGTACATAAATCTTGTCATATGTTGTTTCTTAATCCATCAAAGTCTAAAAAAAAATTGTAAAAAAAAAAAAAAAGATATTCACAAGAACCTGCATCAGAATATTTAAAATTCAGAGCAACTTTGTGAAGCTCTAATGACAAGCACAGGCAAAGACCTTTGTAGCCAAAAGACCTAAATTAACCTCAAGTTTACAAGGACACAATAATGCTGAAGCAGATTTCGGTGCAAAAAGGTGCAATATTGCCTGCAACAAACTTAAAGAAAAACAAAAATAAATGATAAAGAGAAAAGAGCAGATTTACTTTTAATGCAAAGTGTAAAATTTTATTATTTAAGTTAATAATATTTTGCTCTAAATAACAGCTTCTGAAGTTTTAAAACAGTAAGGTTTGTGTTTGTAAGTAAAATTCTACCCTGCTGCTTCTGCAGAGAAGCAATGTCAGCACCACGGTACTGTTGTTTTATCAATGTTTTCAAAGAATCCAAATATATAATATATGATATCAGTATCAGTAAATACTTGTCATCAGCCATAGCGGATTATTAATAATAATACATATTGATATCAGCCTATATATCTGGGCTTCCCTACTAATGATTGAACAAAATCAAAAATAACAGAAAGACAGAACCGGAATTAAACATTAGCCATTATTGCTACCTACGCTCCTAAGATCAATGCAAGTACCGGTACCAAAAGTAAAGTTATACTAGCATGAGCTAACTCGAATTATGAACTGAAGATAGATATATTGTTAGAAAATAACTCCTGATCCTTCAAAGAAAACACCAAATGGTAAAAAACATCATCAAGATAAGAATAAGAGTAAAGTCTTAGTTTGTTCACATAGTTTATAAATATCTCTTGGTCGGGGTTTCTCTGTTTCTTACGTATCCTTCCTTCTCCCTCAGCTTCAACCTTACCGACTTCCATCTATGCAACAACTAATATATATATCGCTCATTTTCACTCCTTCACAAGTACTGACAAACATACAAAGATTCAACAACTACTACCTAAGTCCTTTTAAATATTTTTCCTTAGAGCACCTGCACAAGTTCCTGTATGGATTGTGTTTCCTTGCACTATATATGTAACATAAATCCCTCTCTTTTTCACTCCGCTAAAATATTGAGATACTGAGCTAAAGCGGTTCTTCATAATGCAAAGAAAACCCCATCATTTGAGGATTAATACTTTCCTAGAAATATAATGACTTTCCACATTACTGTTGGCATCATTTGGGAGTGAAGGCTCAAACATCTAATTTATTTCAGACCACATCTCCTCTTCCTTTAATGAGTTTTATGGGAAACTAAAGACTTATGCTGTTAGGTGCTCAGAGGCAGTAGGAGCACAGTGTGTTGCCACAAAACATCAAATGAGATCACCTCCAGCAAGGGCGAACCTTAGCTGGAGGTCTCTGTGAACATCTGTCAACCTGTTGGAGCCTGTCTCTCAAAGAAAAAGCGTGGAAACAGCACTGTAAAAACTTTTTGACACAATGTAAGTCACAACGTTTTCTTTTTTTCTCCACTATGTCACTGCAGATCCCAAAAGCATCCTGCTACAGTTGATTGAATGTCCTGTATGTATATTACAGGGCAACAGAGTGCAACTAATTTGTTTGCAACTGTGACTAAAAATGTCTGGAGTGCAACCTTTTTTTTTTCCTGGTTACACTGGTGCTAAACGTTTTACATTCACGACTGCCAAAAGTGTTAGCTACCTTACAGATTTTGTCTTGTTTGTTGAATGTTTCTAAGAAAAATATAATATATTACAAATAAAAACAAATAAAGATACCTGGGGTAAAATTTTTAAATTATCAAAGAAATTTGACATAATATGGGGAAAAAGTTTTGTGGTCACTTAAAGATGGACTTGCATTAAATGATGAAGTTATTGTTGCAAGTCCCAATCAAACCGGATTTGCCATCCCTACTGTTAAAGGTAATCTTGAAAATGTCTTATGTTAATGTAAATCAACATTTTATGGCTTTTTCTTTCCTGTTTGTAAAAACAATAATTCTTATAATGTGATGACTCACTTAGGTGCATTAAACGCATATACTAAATCGGTATTTAATGCTGAGAACAAAGGCTTTTCACTGAAGTGTTTTATGTAATTGTAACATCTTTGTTACTCAAAGCTGGATTGTTTCTTCAAAGAGTAAAATAGTAATTCCAATATATTTTTCAAGTACCTACAGCTTATTGTATCAGGGAAGCAATTAAACATGTTAGCATTAGCTCAATCAACTAATTAAATGTTTTTTTGGTTAAAAAAAAATACATTTAGTGATAAAAGTGTGAGCTTATTTACCAACTTTCACAGGTTTAAAGTTGTAATGAGAATTCGCTGCAAATGCTTTGGCAGCCTTAAGGTCAAATAATGCTTCTGATGCATAGCCTCTGCAACAGTCAAATCTGTCTCTGTGCGCGACCACGCCCCCCGCACAGAGGTTCTGCAACTGTCGTCGCGCATATAAAAAAAAATCCTGAAAAAGCAGCTTTAATTGGTCCTTAGTATGCCTTTCGGGCTGTCTGTGTGGTCGTCCTTCCAGATTCTGTGCCGGTTTTTAAAAACCGATGAACAACTACCATGGACAGCTACAACAAAAGGTTAATTGGCCTTTTTGCCAACTCCATTAATGGAACCTGTTCTTCTTCAATGTCTAGCACCTCTAGATCCATCTCCATGACTATGATATCTTGCAGACGCGCCATGTTGTCTTGGAAAAAAAAAAACTTCTGCCGGTGCCGCCGAAGTTCTCGCAGGTTCTTGAATAGGCTCCCCCTTGCGCTTTGGCGGGAAACTGCTGTGTGTCCCTAGAAATTCCAGACCGACGGTGCAGAAGCATACCAGCTAAACTAGTTCACGACCAGACCCAAGCGACATTTGATTTGTGTGGATGCAGAAGTCTAATCTGCCCTTTATCCTACATTCAGACTGCTTGCTATTAAAGCAGCAGAAGCAGCTGGTTTACATGCAAAGTCAATGGTTGGCACACATCAAGAAACGTGTTTCGAGCAGCAGGAGCAGCGCGTCTGATTAGCAGGAGCAGAGCATCTTGACGCAGCTGAAGCAGCGCCTCATGAGCTTCTGAGCATCTGAGGCGCATGATACGCTTCACAAGCAGCAGCTGCTGAAGTTTGAAAAATGTTACTTTTGCTGCTGAGACAGACAAAGTGCTGCTAATGCAGAGAGCTATGCTCACTCCCCTGAAACAGCTTATTAATGCCAAAATTATCTTAAAATGTAGGAATCTGTCGGCAAAACATGTTCGCTTTTATTACTCTGGCACGTACAGTTTAGATGACATACAAGAAAACTGCTAACATCTCCTTCCAGCTGCAAAAAAGCAGAGGATAACCTCCAAAAGGCGACTGGGCCAGAGGCAGCTGTTGTTGGGGATTTCCAGTGACAGCGCACCGCCAGTGAACAGGGGTTTCGTACTGGTCCGACAGCGATTTGATGGCAGGATTGTAATCTTGATTAATTCACTGCACATATGATGTTTTGCTATTGAACACAGGAGCAGCAGAAACATCAGACGCATCTGTATACACTTTACTGGATGCGCTTCAGGAGCGTCAAAAAATGCTCTTCAGGCCCGTCTGACCTTTATGTGAACAAGTATCAAAAATAAAGTAGCAGAAGATTTTTTGCTGCTTCTATCGAGTGTAGTCTGAATGTAGCATTAGATGGTACTTTACACCCAATACCATGGTATCATTATAGTGTCTTTTGACATCCTTCAAATCCTGCTTTTTTCTAACATACCTACTGTAAAGTACAGGGTGATGCTATATTCCATTTTATTGTCAGCTAGTGTTAATCCAACTAACAAAACTTTCCCATTAATGCAAAGGCAAGGCACAGAAACTTTTCTTTTGAACTCCCTGTGTAAGTGGAAGTTGACATTTCCCATAGTTTAGGATAAACGACTATTATTGAATCTAATAGATTAAGACACCTGATTTCTTGTTTGGAGATAATATTTTCTGGGGTCTCTTAAATTGTTTCCTTGGAGACAAAGATGTTTTTTGGTTCATTTTTTACCATGTTTAGATTCTAAGTCTAAATTTTTACCTTAATAAATACGGACAGAGTTCATGCAGAAAGTCCAATCCATTAATGTTTTACATATAACCTAAAGAGTGTTCAATGGTAATATTATTTTAAATAACCATCCTGCATCATAATTTGCTGAAAATTCCTTTCAGTTTAACAAAGGACATCACAACAGCTTGCATGGAACAAAACCATAAATATAAATTTAAATAAATTTGCATTTTGATGAGCTCATCATATCCGAGGGATGTTTTCAGAGAAGAAGCCAAGTAAAAGAAGCTACAAAAACACACAACTAAATAATGAAAAAATATTAAGTTATATTTGGGATTTCAGATTAGGATAAACTGCTTAGATCTCCAGAGCTCGACCGTGTGTTGATCAAACACATTTAACCTAAAAGTTAAGACTAAAGCATGCAACAAAAATAAACAGATAAAATCCCCACCATTCTACTTGAAACTAAAGTTAATAAACATGTCATTGTTTAATCCACAATGTCCACTAATGACTAAAGTAACACCTGTGGAACACTGCTGGGACTTGGTTGCACAGCGAGCAGTGCACACAAACAGAGAAACGCTTTGGCCTCCAGCTAAATTCTACCCCACAGATGAAGACAAATGTAACCACAGCTGAGTGCTGGCTCTGTAATTAAACAGAGACATTGGGTCAGGAATCTCAGAACTCAGGCTTGCTTGCGTGAGATGGAAAGGTACATTTTACTCTCTTAAAATTTGTAATACAGAAAGAAAGAGATGATTAATGTAATTAAAACAAACAAAAAATTTTATGCATTTCATAATAGATTAAAGTAGAATGGGAACCAGCTGCTTCGGAGATGGGTAATGACCATGTTAGCGGAAAGACAATGCAGAAAACACAAAAAAGCTGAAGACTACCTTACCTTTCCAAAGCTCCCTTTTCCAATGGCCCGCAAAATTTGAAAATGGTCGAAGTTTACTGTAACAAAACAAAGAACAGAAACATAGTAAAGAGATCAGTAAACTCTCTGAGCAATTGCAAAAAGAGCTTCGGTCTTGACATGAAACATGATTCATTCATTTGACAGATTACCAGCACAAGTAGTTCATTTTTAAATGGCTGGCCTCATATTTGATGATTAGTAGCAAATATTTTAAAACTGACAACTGATTGAAGTGTAAAACTCACATACAAGCACATTTCGTGCTTGTATACAAGCGCAGATCTAATGTAAGGCATGTGTCATTTTATTGTGAAATGGTTTTATATACAGTATATATATATATATATATATATATATATATATATATATATATATATATATAAAACCTTGGAGGAAAAAGGCCCTTTTCATGCCCTGTATTTTGCTACAAATATGGCAAAATAAAACCTTAACATCAAGGTGTCCTGGAGTTTCAGACTTTAAACTACAGGCAACACACCAAAAAATGCTAGTTATTAATGCGCACTTTCGTCTGGTTTGG